TCCTTAAACAAGTGAGGAAACTGGGCAGGCAGGTGGAGAACAAAAGAAGAAATCTAAGGCCTAAAATGCTATTTACAGCAGATGAACATTCTCTGAAAGTCGTGTCCTTAAGAAACAGGGAAAATAATCCAGCAGTGACACAAAAGATGCATTTTGCCCTTTGCCCTACTGCTCCCTGAAGCCTCGTTTTTCAGCATGAAAATGATCTCAAACACACTACTAATGCAGTAAGAGCATACCTGGATTGAAAAACACACAGTGGAACACTATCAGTCATGGAACGGCCTCCCCAGAGTCCAGACCTCAACATTATTGAAGCACTGTGGGATCATCCTGACACAGAACAGAACAAAAGGCAGCCAACATCCAAAGAAGAGCTTTTAATATCCTCCAACAAGCCTGGAGAAGTATTCCTATATATTAATTAAAGAAATTACATTAAAGAGAGTTCAGGCTATGTTAAAGAATAAAGCTGGTCATACCAAACATTGGCTTTCAAGTTCATTAGAACTGCAATAACTCAGTTTGTTTGCAGATGTTTCAATACCTATTTCCAAAATACCCGCATAATACAAAAATGAGGAGTGACTGGAGACCTTTGCACAGTTTTGTGAGCCTGGGATTCAGAACAATACTAAAGTAGTAAACTTCAAACACTAAACTATATCGTATGCTCATCGTTCTCTGTGGGTTTGTCTAGACAGACAGACAGGCAGCTGCTGAGAACCAGCATCTGACCTCCTCAGCTCCCTCCCCAGGACACGAGCCCCTCTAAGTCTCATTAGGCCGAACTGGCAGCTCGAGCGAAAGGAACGAGGGCCACCTACCCCGCCTCACACGGCAAACCCCCACCCCACCCCATCACTCACAGGAGCTCTCATTACTTCTCTCCCCTCCCGTCGGTCCTCCAGCCCCTCTCTTATAGGCAGTCAGCTCCATCCATCACATCTATCGATCCCGTCTCCCCTTGGTGTGGTACCTGCCTGTTTTTGAGACTAAGTGGGAAGGATGGCAGAGCTAGCGTGATATTTCAGCTTTCCAGTGGCAGTGCTGTCCCCTTGGGATGTTCAAGGTGAGCTGGAGGTTGGGTTTCATAGAGGAAGTGTTTCTTCATAGATCTAAATGAAGGAGCTCTCCCAAGAGGAATGAACAAAAAACATGTTTTTCCTCTGCAGAAATCAAAGTAATAATCAGTCTGCTGCTGCTTCTCCTATTCACGGTGTTTCCTAAAAATGGCTCTGCAGCCCCTCATGATGCCACACATCATAGCACAATATATGTTTAGCAGCACAAACATATCTTTGTTCAAATCAAAGCAAAGTATTGTTTTGGATTCAACGGTGATGTTCCACAGCAGCATGTGGATGCGGTAAATCTTCTGAAATAGATCCAATATAGTCAGAGTCGGTTCTGACTTTGATCTTATTACCTTGATGGTTTTTGGGCAGAGAAGCAAGCTTAAGCTTTTAAAGCGATTGCCTGAGAGAAAACCATTTTAGAGCATGCTATACTTCAATCTGGGATTAGATTCATAGTATGTGACATCATTCTGTTCACCAAAATCCATCTGAAAATATTTTTACACGTTGCTTCGAGGTACATTGTGATAAATTTAAAAGAAGGGAGTGTGTTTCATTTATATAGCATAAAGAATGTTACATAGTTGAGGGAATCTGGCGGCCTAATGGTGCATTCAGCACGAAATCTTCACTCTGATTTTTGGCTCTGAGACCTTTATTGCTTTTCACGCCACTCTCTCTCGCTCCCTCGCTCTCTCTCTCTCCTCCTGCCAGTGTGGTTTCACTAATTATATGCTGAGCTCCAGCATGAATTTTACATATATTGAGGTCACGAGTTCAAGTCCCCCACAACACACACTCTACTCTTCCTGTGGGCTGCTTCAGCACGCTTATTTTAAAACCTCTTCTCACGGTTTTGATCAAAACCCATAGGCTGCACTGGTAATTTTTTTTAACATGCAGGTTACTCCAAAAGAATTCGGTAGCAGTCCTTTAAAATGTGAACCAGATGCTATGATACCATGTGTAACTGCTATAGCCAAGGATGTGTCCAAGCAGCTTGTTGCAGAAGGGAGTTTGCTTTTTAACATGCGTTTAATCATGCGATGGAAAAATGTTCACCAAAAGTAACCCATAAAAAGTCAGTGGTAGCATTTTTTGAGACAGTCCACAACTAAGGATGTAATTCCCCGAGAATTAAATGGAATTTTAATGGTATTTTATATGAAATTGTAGTGTAATTATATTTACGAAATGGCTTCAAGCAACTTAAAGAAATCCAGAGGCTTTTCTTTCCAGGCTTCTTAAACTACAATGACCTGGATGACTGAGAACCTTCACAGACATTTGTAGGTAAATTTAATTACAAATAAAATAGAGTGAAATTCCATTAATTACAGGATAATTACACACTTTTTTATATATTATAATGTATTATAAAGTGCTATCAATGAAAATAAATTGAAATTGGGCTCTCTGACTAAGAGGTTGAAGGTTATGCCGTCCATCTCCCAACATGGACATTTTGATCTTCTTCACAGTGAAATTTGACACTACTGGAGCATCACTGTGAGGTCAAATTACTCCAGGGGATACCACTTGCATGACTGGGAGCTGACTGATAAGCGTCAGTTGTTCTGTTTCACGGTTCAGATATTTGAACACTGGATGACCTTCAACTATTGTCATTCAGTGCTCGCATCTGTGTTCCAGGTAAAAACATGTATGTTTGCACTCTCACTGTAAAGTTGCTCAAATTGGGATTTAGGTTAAAGCTCTGCTGTGCAGAAACAGCTGCGAGTGGGTGTCTGAATCCTTAAATTATGAGTCTAAAAATACGCAAATCTTCCCGTAATATAACACTCCCCATATGTATGCTTTCAGGACACAACATGCAGTTTCCTCAGGTTGTTAAACCACCCTCAAAAATGTGGTCGTGACCTCAATTTCTTTCCTGTAATTAGAGTTTTGTTTTTTTAATCCGTTGCTATCATTCTTTATGCTACCTGTGTGTTACTGCTTATTGAAAACAGCTTAGACTGTTTGGTTTTCACTGGAAATTAAGTTAGCTGGAATGGGGTCTGCCGGAGCTGATTGTTGTCACAGCTGTGCAATAAACTCTTCATTGGATTCTTGTCGCCATAATAATATCATCATGCAACATTCACCAGTCCCATAGGTCAAACTCACATGTGTATTAAGGATATCAATTATACCACGCTTGGATCACTGAAGATTGTCTTTTCATACAAGATGTTGCATTTGGTGCCTTTCTCTTGTTTATATGAGTGCAGTTTTATTGCGTTCTGCACTTGTTGGACACCCACTCATGTTCTCCCAGACTTGTGTGCCCCTTCATATGAATGTATATGTGATACATCAAAATGCAGAAGAAACTATGCGTGTCTCTGGGTATATTTGTCCAGTACTGTAAGTGATGGGAAACAGTCTGTTTCTGGGGCGATTGCAGCTCCCTGTGGGAAAGTGTTTATAATTAAGTGTGATTTTCTGCATCCACACCAGACCACAGGAAAAAGAATAAGGCAGGCTATTTTCTGTAGTTGCTGCTCAGCTTTTCATTTGTTCCCATCTTTTTTCACTGGTTTAAGAGAGAAATATGCAGATTTTGAGTTGGGAGGACTTGCAATTAACTGATTTAAAATGCTTATTAATTCCACAGGAAATTTTCTTCATGTTAAATTGCTCATTTGAATTTATTCAACAGTTGAGTGAAGTGCAGGGTGAATTTGAATGAGCTCCTCAAACGACTGGAAAGACTGAAATAAAGGACCATTTGCAGACAGAGCTGAGTTCCGGGTCCATGTCCGCGCGGCCTCTCGGTAGAGCTACATTCACTGGCTCAGTGACCAGAACTGACACGCAGTCGCTCACACAGAACACCGGTGTCAGTTTCAGAGGAGGATGCCGAGATCGCGTAGGATATGAAAGACGCGAACACACCGAAAACCTCGGTGCGAGAGAGGAAAGAAAAATCAGCACGATCTCTGATTCTCCCATGGTTCAGAGAGTTTGCACCTGTACCTGTCAGACAACTTAACAATTCAGCAGGGAATCTAGTAAACAAATCCAGAACCCAGAACCCAAATCCCCTGATACAAACACATTCCTAAAATCATTCATTCATTTATTTTTGGGCATGGAATATTCTTCATAAAATCAGTGAAATATTCAAACAAGGGATGGAATATCAGCTGCATTTGCATGTCATTTTCACATGCTAATGAATTTTTTGGTGGCAGTACATGGAAATAATATTAAAAGAGTGTGGTAAGAGTTTGATATTAGAAAGGTAATATATAAAATATTATGTACTTGCCAAAGTAATAAGCTTGGGAATATCCAAGTAGATAGCTGGTAATATTAAACTTAGATTTATGTTGTCAAATTCACTCCAATAGCACCAATTTTTTATATCTTTATTATCCATCGATTTATGCGTCCATCTTCTGTCAATTTAGAATAACGAATTAATCTAAACCAGAGTATCACACGGCATGGCTCAGTCAAAGGCTGGATTCAAACCTAGGACCTTCTTCCTGTGAGGCAAAGGTGATCACTATAGTGCTGCTCCAGTACTTTAGTAATTTCCTGGTATTACTCTGTTATTAACTCATTCTCATGGCTTATTTAGCCCCATTATTCCCATCTTATTACCATGGTGTAATCTTAATTGCCACCCATTTGTCTTCTTGTCACACTGCAGTTATGCAGACTTCTCCATGCATGACTAAACTCACGAAAGAAACTATAAAGCTTGAGAAGGAATGAAACTAAGAGGGATGGATCTGACTGGACTGTGCAGGAAAAAGGTGGAACGATTTTAATAATATATTATAATAACGAGGTATGGTACAATATCCTAGCAACCAAACTGTAAGAAAGGGATCCAGCGCTGCGTGATGCTTCATTTTACATTGAGAAACATCTCACCCTGCCTGCTTCAAACCATCTGGGTTTTTCTCTGTGACCATTTTATGAGCAGAGCTGCCACGTGGGGCACAGTATGATGCAAGCATAGATTCAATTATGAGGTTGGGGTGTTTGGCAGGAAGGTGTGCATGTGTGTGTGTGTGTACTGGGCTCTGTCTGAAGCTGATAGATGTGGAGATTTCTAGCTTGGCAAGTGGTTTGGCAAACTGGCAGTAATGTGAGAACGGCCCATTGTGCTTCTGCAGAAAAACCCCTGAACGCTCAGCTGTGTTTACAGCCCAGAGCGTGGCACGGCAGAATCCCCCAACAGCCCCCGCTCCAAAAAACACAGAATCAGAAAAAAAAGTGCCGTTCCCATCCCATTTTTCCCTCAGTATGCCCTCCGTGAGGCTGCCTACCAATTAGCCACCGCTGCTGCTGAGGTGAGATAACAACAGAAACCCATGTATCCCCCAAAGACCTCACTAGGACCTTTATTACCGTATTGATATCTTCTGCCTGTCACCGCTGCCCTCACTTGCCTGGCAGCGTGCCAGCAAATTTTCTATGAGCGGGGGAAAAAAAAACAATCCATAAAGAGGCTGTAACTCAATGCAAGTAGAAAACAGCAGGAGGCAACATTAGACTGAACGGTACATGCTGTAATTAGTGAGAAACTGGAAGGAATAAATATAAAATAAGGTACAGCTGCTTAGTAAATTTAAAAAAACAAAACAGAACTCAATAATAGGTGAAAGCACAAATATGAATAAAAAAAACACAACCAGTGGCAAACAGAGGGGGAAAAAACAACAAAAACAGCAGTTTCTAATCCTTTTATGTGCCCACCGATGTTTTATCTCTCAATAATTCCTACGTAGATGTAATTTGTCCTTTATGTCACAAAAATGTTAAAAACCTAAAGTACGCAATGTCGTTTGAAAACAACGGAAAAATCTAAATATTGCATTTTCCACCCACAGATAATAAAGTGTTCAAGTTAGCTCACATTTTTGTAGCACCACAAACGAGTTACTTCATGGACGCAGTTACAAGAAAGTCCAGTCGTTCAGAACACACACAAAAGTGGCTGGAAGACCAAAATAATAATAATAATAACAATAATAATAATAATAACAATTAATAGGCATACATTTTATGTTATTTTATGTGCAAAACTGTTAGCAGTGAAAACAAATTTTAACGTTTTCCGATTGTCCGCTTGGTGTCTGGTCAAAACTCAAACCAAACCTTCATTTGCAGCCATGGGTTACACAGACTTTAAATCTTGCTTATAACGCTTATAAAATGGGACTGTAACAAAAGTGGTGACATTTAAATGCTTAAAAAGTGAAAAATAAATTTGACCTTCTTAAAAAACTGTATCTGAAAACGGTTAAAAAGAAACATCTCAATGTGAACTAGTCGTCAAAGGCACTCTTTTTAAGGGAGAAAGTGTCTCATGTGTTGTATTTATGTCACGTTTCTTCATTTTGAAGCAGGTGAAAAGTTACAGACCTGATCTGATGGAAACTTTCAGCAGTACCACGGCGGCTGCTTGTCGAGTGTTTCGAGTGAGGCTTTACAGTAAATGGATATGGGGTCACTTCTACTGCAAAAGCCGAGGTCAACCTATCAGGTAGCCATTCTGTGTTTAAGTGCTCATAAAACACTGCAAACATCTATTTCAAATGTCCCAGCTGTCACTGAAGTACTGGTCCTCTTCCTCCTCCTCCTCCTCCTCTTCTTCTTCCTCAATCCCATTTTTCATGAGGTCATCCAACTCATTCACTTCCTCCTCGTCCTCTTCTTCCACCTTGAGCTGTGCAAGCATGGTTTGTAAAGTGGATTTTACTTCCTGAACCTCCTTCTCTAAAGACTGTGCAAAGGGAGTTAAGGAAGAATGCTGCTGCAGACACACACACAACATTGACATGTAAATAAAATGCATGCCAACAGACAAATATGTCACATGTGCCCTGATGTGTGCCCCCTGACGGTTAATGGCGGTAGCAGCGGACAGCCATAACGTGATGAAGTCATCAATCTCCGATTTTGGCCCACGAGCGGATTATCGGGACAGATCATCGAGTCATACTCAATTTAACCCCATCCAATTATTCGCTATTCATGAGCTCGTCTCAACCGTGAGGCTGGGTGGCAATGTGGGGACCCAAGCAAACAGACTGCCCAGCTAAATTATTCATAAACCATCAATGAAACGGGATAGAGGCTGTCAACAGGAGGGGGATTGTTTAACCTGCTTAGAAACTCAAATTAATCGTGTGAGTGTCCAGCTTAAGTGGCAAATCAAAGGGATGGCTTTGATGGCAGATGGGGCCTGATGGCTCGTTTTGCTGTCTGAATGGACACAGATTGTCCTCATTCATAATTAAACAGCTATTAAAGAGCTTTTCATGAATACTGCAGAGGGTTCGACAAGACTTTTAGGGCGGCCTAGTCCAAATGGGAAGAAACTGCTCAGAATGATCTTAAAAACCCTTAAAACTAACCACAAACACCGACAGGATTTTGCCCACCCTCGTCTTCATTTTCTTCAATCCCAGTCTCCGCGGTTGTCCATACACCTCCTGTTATTGAGAGCAGGGACTCAATTAAGACCCTTAGACACTGCCGTTTTGATCGTACTGTCACTATGGCAACAGTCCCAGCATCGCTAGTTCAGTTTCTGTTCAATTTTCCTTGCAAACCGACAATACTGTCCTCAAGTGTCCACTGCAGTTCTGCACGAGTGCAGTGACTTCAAATATCAGAAATAAGTGACACATAAGGACATGAGAGCAGAGAGGTGGAAAGAGGTGCGCCGGTCTCTGTCTATCTCCGACTGCCAGGCTGCATTGAAATCATGCAAACAGGGTCTGTGCTGGCCCCTGACAGTACAGTGGGGGACGCTCTAAAAAGATATAAAAGCAGACTAACCACAGATCAACAAAAAGAGCCAGGGAGGGGGGCACTGCAGAACACACTGGTTCTAGAGATCGCCAAATTAAATACACAATTAAATACTGTCCAGCACAGAAAAATTGGACGTGACAGAAACTAAGCAACAGCAGGTAAAGGTGGCAAATTTTCACCACGGCAATGTTGAAATATTACCTTTTGATTCTGTCTTAATACGCCCACCATGCAGAGGGGAAAAGTGGAGCGAGAAAAACACACTAATCTATTTCCAATCAGCCTTCTAATTAGCACAGAAAATGATGTATTGTGACCTGTAATCAGCTTCAACAGTTTGATTTGAGTCATTATCATGGATATTGTAATTTCCTGCAAACCACATCCAGCAAGTGGAAGTGGGCAAATGGAGAAAGGGAGGGGCGGTGAGGACGGGTGAAGAGAGGGAGGGTCAGCTTGGAGAATAGACGTTAAGATATGACGGGGAGTCATTACAGTGACATTCTTCGATCTGCTGCGGCACTGCCCCTGTCGACCAGCTTTAATCTCAGCCCATGGTGACTGGCAGCCCGCATCAGCGGCCCTCTAATAACCTCACATGGACATTTACCGTTTCATTTTCCAGCTGGCACTTCCAACCTGTCGAGAAAAATCCTGTGCACCCAGCTTACATTTGAAGTTGAATGGACAAATAATGTCAGATTAGACAGGCTGATTTTTTCTTCCTTTTTCATTGAATGGTAACGTCACAAAACGCAAACATCAGTCAGTCAGCAGTTAAGCAAGGTAGTTTGAATGTGTACTTTGGAGAGTTGGAAGGTCTTGAGGAAAACTAGGTGTTTCAGATAAATGGACAGACACACATAACTGACCCCAAGGTGTGAATTATCAGGTCAGTCATGCAAGAGTAATATAGGACAGCGAACTCATTGCAACTAGGAAAACTTGGTGGTTCAAATCAGGCTGACTGCAATCACTCTCAGACTGATTGGTAAAGGTTTACAAATAATGTCAATCTAACAGAGGAACTTAGTCAGCATGTCACAATCAATCTGAGCCACTCTAAACTAGCGGTCACGAGTCACGGATCGTACCGGTCCGTTCCCGGGGGTTGGGGACCGCTGCTCTAAATCAATGAGTGCAACTAATTTATAAAACCGGACTCAACTCAAATATTCTTATATAAAAGCAGGGCTAGCCAGCACCCATGTAATTTGCAATTATATTGCTGTCCTGGAGCAACTATGTCACTATTTGTGCTGCAATTTTCTGTTTCATATCTATGAGACTCTGGCTGGACTCTAAATGTAGTAATTAATGTTGGCAACAGATTTGTGAATTGCACTGATCTTTCACAATTAATTGCCCTATTATCAGAAACAGACTGTAAGTGCCAATTTGACCCCATTCAGTTGCAAACTAATAGCACACTGACTCTGTCTCATTGCCATTTTATCCACAACTTGATGCACCAATGTTGCTCTGTAGACAGCAACTGACTATAAGTTGTAAGAGACCTGGACCTTTTCCAAACAACCATTTCAAAGGCACTGGAAGTTCAACACCCACAGCAGCAATGATTATGTTTGTGCCACAGGCTCCAGCCACTGTTTTCCCCACTGTGACTGTAGCATGATGTATATTTACAGTTAATTTAAAGGATATGGGTGAGGGCCTGATCCTGATTCAGTATGGCCATCTGCAGTTCATCTTCCAAGGACATCAGCCTGTTACTGATCTGCTCACAGCGCTCCGTCAGTTCGGTAGCCCCAGTGTCGCTGCACCCATCCTGGGTAAGAGAAGACATGAAGGGTCAACAAGGGAAGTTGTTCAAATATAAGCCTCTGATACTGACAATGATCAAAAGCTTGTGCTAATCTGATGTAGTTCAACCAAAGAAAAGCAAAGAGTTGGGAAATTCACAGAAGATTTCTGTCTCCTAGAAAGTAACATGCACCAAGCTACAAAAACATTGGCTACAGCTCCCATAATGCAACTGGGCAGTTTTTTTATTAGCCCCTCCTTGCCTGATAAAAATGACAAACCGTGTTTGCATGTGTATAATGCAGCATTAAAACTGCGACAAACAATAAACCTCAAAGTTATCATCGTGCTTCATGTTGCCCTGGGTAGATGAACTGTTTGCAGGCTCACACACTGACATGTTTATATATTTATATTTACCAACTACAGTATGCTCTTCATTCAGATGACTCTGTTTATTAACAGATTTTTTTTTTATTATAGCAGCTAACGGTTTTTTGCCATTTTAACCACTTGCTAGTCTCAGTTAATGTGCAACAAAAAGCGTTTATTCGCAAACACACACCTAGAGGGGCAGTGTTTACAACATTAAGAGATATCTGCATATTACATGATGCTACAAGGCTGGGTGCATTTTGAAGAATGGCAGGGATGTCAGGTTGGTGGAAGTTCAGAGTGCAGTAGGGCAGAGCATTCGGGGAGCAACGCTGGCCATAATTAGAACAGCCCCCTTTGCAGACATCGTGTCCTAGTTTCTTCTCTCTTATCAAGCATAGAGAACACAAACGCACACCCAAGAGTACACGCACACTCACTTCAAACAAACAGACACACACACGCACACAGACTCAGTGTTCTCCTTAAACAACACAAAGAGTCTAATCTGACTCATAGCTGCAGGTTAAAAGAAAAAGAAAAAAAAATCAACTCCCTGCAGCTCAGAGGTGTCAGAACAATCACTGAAAAGTCGCGTCTCTGGTCTCTGCCCTGGAATAGCTCTCCCACTCTGGATGATGTAACACCAGAAAAGAAACGTACCACAACAGCAAGTGTTGGGGGCGGCAATATGTGCGAGACATCCTGACACAATTAAGGAATTAAGCGAGATTTTTTCAATGCAGAGAGGCCCACAGGAAACAGCATTCAGAGAAAAGATATTTTAGCGCTTGAGGAACTTTAAATGAACAAACGATCACTGTCACAAGTCTCTCCTCTGGCTTCACTTCACCTCGTCCTGGATCTTTTCCCCTCAACAGATTCAGTGAGCTGTTTGTTTATCCAGGTTAGGGGCTTCTCCAGCAGATAAGAGCCCTGGGTTTGTGTAGCTAATTGATTCTTTACTTTCCAGCCTTCATTCAGCTTTTGTAAAGTCAATACAACCACAGGACAGAAAACAAAAGCTCCCCGTGCAGAATGACACTCTTTAAAAGACACGCCTGACAGGTTGTTTAAAAGCCATTAAAACAAAAACAAAATCTTTAAAAAAAAAAATAAAAAATTCACAAATTGTAATGTTGCTCCAGGTGGTGTTCAAAACAGCTTTCTTCGCTATCTCTGCCTTTGACAAACAAGGCGACAGATTTCACCGACATGTCAATTTGCATAATAGAATCGCAGGCTTGCGTGTATTGGCGTGTTGATTTCTGTTGTACATTAGCGCTAATGTTATTAAACCAAAGTAAACAAAGCAGACTGGGGGAGCGTGGTGTTGAGGAAATTATTTAGGAATTCAATATTCAAACTCATGTATGCAGTTGTATGATTATTTAAGCAATAATGAGTGAGAGGCAGCAGGTAATTGTGCATGCTCCCATGGGTGCTGTTCTACCCACTTTGCACCAGGCGGACAATACAAAGCAATATTATTGCACTGGCATAGCACTCAAGGCAGTATTTGCTTAAAAAATACAGTGGCTAATTTATTTTAAATAAGAAACTTGGAGTGCCTGACTTTTTTATAAAAAAAATAATAATAATAAAAACTAAATGAATATAAATGAAAGGCCAGTAATACGGCGGTTCATGCCAAACAAGTTCAGCAGGAGGTAAAAGTCTGTATTTTGCAGCATATTGTAAACAGCAGATCAAACGTAAATCAAGATTTTAGCCTCGTTAATGCGTTAAGTACTTTTTTATGTACTGGAAAACACATCAAAAATACATCAAACAAATTTCGTATAAGAACCTTTAGTGTATTGTCTTGTCTTTTGGTCCCTGCATTCACACGGGTTCTATTTCTCTCCTACCTTTTGGTAGCCAGCTGTCTGCAGTGGAAGTTACAGAAATCTTATTTCAAATTTGGAGGTGAAACGTTCAAGGACATCGTCACAGTAAAATGCCAAAAAAATAGGTGTCTCTCAGTGAACAGCAGCCTGCAAGTTACGCACATCCACGACACCGCTGCTGAAGGAAAGCTATTAGCTCATACTTGAAGTACTTTCTAAGTTACTTTTCTTAACAATGATCAATTTCTGGTATATTCAAGTTGCAGCTCCCTTGTAATGTGAAAGGTTGCTTCTTAGGTTTCAACACTAATCCTTACCAACAAATACGTCTGCAAAGGAACATTGTACACAAATATGTGCAGTAATAAGAGAATTCAGTACTGCAGTTATTTTATTACATATTCTCAAGGCAGTATGTAGGTTGAGCCCCAAAAAGTCGGCATGCATCATATGTTCAAATGCTTCCCAGACGTGCCATAAATGCACACAGCTGTCCCAAAATCCAAACCATAAAGAAATTAGACAAAGCTGTAAATCATTTCCTTATTTTGCAGTTCAAATCGAGGATCAGAATGGGGTAGAGAGGTGTTTCAAGTGACTTTGAATGTGGCAGTAGAAACTTGGGCTCTATTTTACTTTTTCCTAAAAGCAAAGTTTACAATGTGTGTAATGTTTAACACCAAGCTGACGGTAACTTTGTGGATGTCACTCAAATAAGCTTTGCCAAAACAAAGAAAAATCTTTTCTTTCCTTTTCCCCTCATCTTTCTAGAGCTGTAACTGTCATTTCTACCTGACCTTAATGATTTTGCTTTTCATTGTGGGACAATAGCTGCCATCAACAAAGAACTACAAAAATCAGCCCTTTTATAGTGCGCAGGATTGAGTATACTTAATTTTGTCGCTATTCAAATGTGAAGTGGAATTTGAATACAGCTTCAGTTTTTGAGCACTTCTGTCCTACACTGCAGGATTCTCCACAATTGTTCAGTTTGGGGGAAAAAAACCCATCAAGCTATGTTTTTTCTTTGTGATGTTTGTTTGGCAATGATCTTCTAAACCTGTAGCTTGACTGACATCCAACAGTACGCGTGCTTCTTCATTTGTGCCTACAAAGTGATACATTTCATTTCAGAGGTGGAAAAGCAATGCAGTGTTAAACATTATAAAACAACCATTAGTATACAGTAGCTCCTGTAATACGAGGTATGATGTAGGAACCTGTTGCAAAGCAGTCAAACAAATCTCAACAGAAACCATTCAACATTCCAGTTTAATGATGTGTCTACTGTTGTTCAGAACTATGGGTGAGTGTAACAAGATATATGCAAGGACCTTGAAAGGATAAAAGAACAATTAGTAGAGGTTAGAAGAAAACAGTAGCAACACACATGACCACACAAACTCACACACACCAATCAATCTCCATTGTGGCAGCAGGGCAGCAGCTAAGTGGAAATCATTTACTTAAAGTCATTATGGAAAGGAGAAAGAGGTCAGACGCTCTGCGCGAGGCAGAGAATCGAGCTCCTCCCGATGCTATCACAACACCATCACTGGAAAGATGCCATTAAACAGCTATCACATCATCTGACTCAGTGATGTATCACTGTAATGTCGCTGTACTTTATTGTAATTACCTATTTTAGGGTATCTGGCTTTTTAATAACTACATGTAATGTCATATAAAGTTAGAAAAGGGGAAGGCTTCTCACTTCTACAGCGCCACAGTTAAAATTTCATGTAAATTGATGCTGTCTCTTAAAATAGATTTTAGAAGGTAACTGAGCCAATGTTTGATAGAAGCTTTGGGTGAAATGTTATCACTGGTACTGCAGGTTGTAGCATTGAGAACCTGTTAAACATGACATGCGTCATTTACTGGTTTGAATTCCTGCAAGTGCCACCGTTTACTGAGTGCATGTGTACTGTGTGGCTGTGTGACCTTGTGTAAATTCAAACATAAAGTTACAGTGTGTAAAATCTCACCACTAGATGTCACTAAGATGCAAATTCCAATTAAGTTAATTCTGTTTTCTTACCGTTCCCAATTAAAGCGCGTAATCCTAACTATGGTGGCCACTGTAGGACAAACATGTTATATTCAGCCCAGAGATTAATCTTAAATCTAGACTGTTTTGTACACACTATTGTAAAATATTTAAACAATATCAACATTTGCCAGCAAATCGGAAAATAAAAAATGTTTTTAAAAAAAAGATATTTTTCAGTTTAATACTTTCCTAAATTTTATGTTTTTACCAAGAGTCACCTGAAAATCTATGGACACTGTTGATCTCACAGCAAAATGACTCCAAACCACAGTTTTTGCTCAGTAGGCTTTCTGCCTACTGTTTACCTCAGCTGCCAGTGCTGGATGAGAAACGTCCACATCTACTTAAGGAGGCTGTAAAGCTTTGTGAAAAGGAATCGATGAGTCAGCAAAGCTCACTTCTGTCCAACAACAGCAACAATGAGGTGGGTTTTTGAAGACATGATGTACTTTTGTGTCAGCATGCGCTGTTGTTTTTGCTGCTGTTAGCCTCTGTTAGCTGCTGTTAGCCTCTGTTAGCTGCTGTTAGCCAAGGTTAGTGATATTTTTTTTTAAGTGGATCTAACATTCCTGGACTTGGAATGGCAAATAACCTCTTATACAATGTGACAATGTAACCAAACTGTTTACCAAAAGAGAAGTGCAATTTCAACCCTAACATTAGCTGGCTGACAATAAGGATGATCCTTCATATCTGGAGTTTGAAGGCTTGGACGCAATTTAGAATCTGCCTCCTCTGCACACAAATGCCAGTCCGTGGCCACATGCATAAATTGTATTCAAGATAGCAGGACAACATGGTAGATACCACAAAACCTGCCCTTCTGCATTTTTAACAGATTAATTCAATGTTCATGAGGATGCATTAGTTTGCCAGCAGCAGAATTAAGCGATGTGTACATATGAATAAAATATCCTTTTTTTCTATTAAATAAACTCAAAATTGACTGTTACTTATCCCTCATAAGTAACAGTCATAAAAAACATGTTGCAAAAAAGACATGGTGCCTCTCACGTAGATGGTAAAACAGGTGACAGGGGTCATGTTGTTGATAATGTTAGCATTGTACTGATAACATTGAACCACACAGTGATAGTGTTAGCATCACGCACCTCTGGGTGACTATCCTCCATGCAGAACAAAAACTCCTCCAGCTTCTGCAACAAAAAGGGGAACATTTATTGAGGCCACACAGTCGTAAGCCTGCTCATGAATTATTAAAAATACAATTATGTCGGCTGTGTACTGTATGTGTGCAGCATCATCATAATGCAAGGAGGCTGTAATTACTCATCAGCAAAACTGACAACAAGAAAATAGATTAACAGACTCGTTTGTGTTGCAGGGTTTTTTTGTTAGCATTCAAAGTATGTAATTGTACATTCTTCACTAAGGAAAAGTAATTACTCTACCTACTGGAGGCTAACATATTGTTTGTGGTTTTAAAAAGCAGAGTGAAAACAAATAATCAGCAAAGTTTTAATTATTATTCTAAATTCAAAAGAGCCTTTTTACTTTACTCTGAGGCAAACACAACTGACCCATCCATAACTCTTCACACAGTATCTGATTGGTTTCAAATGCTGCAGTTTTAAACAACTCATATAAACTGGATTGCCACTGCTATCTCTAATCACATCTAGCAGCAGCGTACAATCTGCCTCACACAGTTTTCGAGGTGCAGATTGTAAAGATTAACCAGCTTCAAGCTCCTCTTTTATTGTTTGTTGCCTTGAGATGAAAACACTCATATCTACCAAGCTAAAATAATGTTTGCTGCCGAATGAAAACAGTACCCACTGAATGTGCCTCTTCTATTTCTATAAGCGACAACAGGAAGGTTATTCTTAAAAGTCTTCATATAAAGATTAAACGTTTTTACATGCCAAAAAGCTTTTTATTGTAATTGTTGCAAAGAAATTCAAAGATAAAGTCATACCCAACATAAATATTACAGGGTGTATTTTGCTACACTGGGTTTCAGGCGGAGGGATTACACAGAAAACACAGCTCACAGGATGAGGACAAAAGAGAGAAATGGCTGGCTGTCTCACCTTTTAGTTCTTGGTAAAATGTTAGGAGGTTCCAGGCTTTAGGAGGAGAAAGAAAAGCAAAGAAAGACAAAAGGGGGAGCAGAAAATAGATTCATGCAGTTTATCATATGCGGTCAAGGAAAGGCAGGAAAGAAGAAGACATTAATGAAAGCTGTGTGTTTATGCATGCTAAGGACAGGTCTGTGAGAGAAGCTGAACAGGTTGCAACAGCAGCAGAATTAAACATGGCAATGAAACCCTACAGCTTCCTGTATATTAGATCCAAAAAGAACGAACGTTTGTGCTTGGAAGCACAATCCAGTAAATCCATACTAATGGAGAAAATGTAGAGCAAACATTATGATAAACAACAATCTGTGAGCCTAAGTAGGAAAGTATAATGAAACATATCTGGAAAATGTTCTGTGTATACATATATATACATATATATACATACATACATATATATACACATATATACATACACATATATATACATACACATATATACATACACATATATACACATATATACATATATATATACATACACATATACATACACATATATACATATATATATACATATACACATATATACATATATATATACATATACACACACATATACATACACATATACATACACATACATACACATATACATACACATACATACATATATATATATATATATACATACTAGAGATGGCACGATACCACTTTTTTATGTCCGATACCGATACCGATATCATAAATTTGGATATCTGCCGATACCGATATGAATCCGATATAGTGTTTTTTAATCAACAAAACTGTTTTTTAAAATATCTTGCTG